GTAATTGTAAGCAAGTGGGGCATAATGTTCGAGGATGTAAGACATCCCTTACTGGAGAAACTCCATGGCAGAGAAGAATGAAGTTGAGAAGACAAAAGTCTTCCACAACAAGGGCACATGGTGATTCTGAAGATGCTGGAAATGAAGAGTCTACTGTCAACACTGAGGTGCATGTTGAAGGTACTGCAAATGAAGAATCTATCCCCAATACTTCTATTCCAAATGCAAGAAGCTCAACAAAGAGAAGGAGAATGTCCAGTTCACAACCACCACAACCATCATCTAGAAGAATCACAATATCCTCCAGCTCACAACCACATCAAACCCTGGTATGACTTGCTGATCTGAACTATAAGTGATTGTTGTTATACATATTCTAATGGATGACTATGTTGCAGGACAAACACTGCTGAAGATGGGTGGTTCAATGATGTGATGTGTGTAATTGCTAGGAAGATGCCCGCTTGTAATCTCCATGCAATGTAAGGCTGTGTAATGTAGTCATTGTAGTCTATTTTGGAAGGATTTTTGTACTCATTGGGTAATCACTGTAAAGTACTAGACATTGGTTGGTCAAATGTAATCTATCATATGTTTTGATACATTTATGTAGTCATTTTGCTCAACTATGATGCCTAGTCTGTTTTGGAAGAGTTTTTGTACTCATTGGGCAATCATTCTTGCTTATGTAATTTGTTACTATCTGTTACTTTGACATTGGATAATCATTATGTAATCTGTTACTATCAGTGTAATGTACCAGACTGGTTTGGTTTAACTTAAACATCACTCGTGTATTTCTTGTTTTTGTCAAGTATGGTTTGGTAATCATTCTTGCTTGTGTAAGCTGTTACTATCTGTTACTTTCATTCTTCCTTATGTAATGTAATTCAATGTTTCACAGCTTCATAAAGTACATAACCTTCATAATCAAATTCATAAACTTGGTATGTTTGACAATTAAGTTGACAACCACACTTCATAAACTTCATAACCAAATTGACAAACTTCATTACAATCATACAACCAAATTCAAGATACACATAGTACATTAAAACCGTAAACCATACAATACAACTACGGATGGCAACCTTGACACCTAAAACCTTAAACAACCATACAAAACATAGAGAAATTTCCCTGAGACATTTTATCAAACACATGGCAACCTTGGCACCACACTAGATTCCAGGAGAAAGTACTATTGCTTTTCTTTGACATCTTAAGTTCCTTTTCCATATTCTGAAGTTTCAGAAGACCAATCCCACGAACACAACTCTTGATTTCAGCTTGCATCTCTAATTCTTTCATTCGAAAATTCTCTTCAACACTGGTAATCTTCTGAAGCAAACTATCTATCCGTCTCATGCAAGTGCCACATTCTTCATCCTTAACCCATTCAAAAATTTGCACTTTTGAGCACTCAAGTAACGACCGCTTCCATGAAATCTTTTCCCCCCGTTTTTGTCCGTCGTAGTAGTCCACAATGGTGCTTGGAGTCCACACTCACACCTCTTAATTCGTCTTCTTCCATCCATCGACCAAGACTCATCATCGTCTTACTCCTCTTTCTTTATGACCTTCAGCAATGGCTTAACAATGTCTTAAACAAGAGTCAGCAGGGTTTTAATAAGTAACTAGAAAAGAAAAGCCACGTGTATATGACTAAATAAAACCATTTCAAAGTAACCGTTAAAATTAATGCCACGTCAGCGATAACTAACGTTGTAGGGTGGGTGCCCCGATTAAGATAACGGAGTAAAATCACGAGCCTGTGATTGTCAAGAAATGAATCTCATGCCCCTAATTGAAAACACCCCAAACAACAAGTACGTTTACTGGAGTTTTCCCTAATATCTATTAATTTTACCGAACTGTGTCCCTTTTCTATCCTGATTGTGATTGCTTATATAGAAAAAAGATTTCTATCCTGATTGTGATTGCTTATATAGAAAAAAGAACAATTTGAATTGAAAACCATAAATACCCAAAACATTGTAGAGGAAGATAGTGAATCAAAGAAGTTGCAAATACGGGATAGAAGAGACGTCCATGTAGTTATGAAAATAAAAGGAAAAATTGACAAGAATAATCCCACCTTTCACTGGTCTTCTTATAATAATCCCACCTTTAAATAATCCCAAAATAATCCAACATTTGCACCATCTTCTTTCATTGGACCCTGACCAAGTTTTCTTACCATTTTTTAAAAATCTTATATAAATAATCTCACATTTATAAGGATATAATTAAAAGGTGAAAGGTGAGATTATTTGTATAATTTTCAAAGAAAGAGTAAAAAACATGGTCAGGGTCCAATGAAAGAAGATGAGGTGCAAAGGTGGGATTATTTAAAGGTGGGATTATTATGAGAAGACCAATGAAAGGTGGGATTATTCTTGTCAATTTTTCCAAAATAAAAAGTGGATTGTTTTGAATAAAATCATAATAATACATTAATACTGCTGCTGAGCAGGCCTTACATCCAGTCTTATTATTTATGCTTACTAGTATTACATAAAAAGCTTGCATGAAAGAGCCCACAATATGATGCCGCAGCAAAGAGATTAACAAGAAACCATTCATGAACATTTAAAATCACTTTCACTGTCTCAGTTGCAAAATAAATACTACGGAGCACTAGCTTAGAAGTACACATAAGTTTGATACAAAAGCACTAAATTAAAGCATTGAAAGATGAAATGGCATGTCAAAATGTCAAATGTATCACACATCCATGGGATCTTGTACTAAAAAAAGGCCAGAAGTCATCATGCTTTCATAGCCTTCGAGACTCTCTTGCATATACTTGTATAAGTCAGTGCCTTGTCAGTGCAAGATGAGATCTAGTCATCCAGGCAAACAATGGATCTAGGCAAACAATTAACATTGTTTGCCAAATGCACTCAGTAAAAACAAATACTCACAATGCTCCAAATTTTATAAGTGCTCATGCAATTGCAATATGAGGGTGCTCAACTGGTTATAAACCATAACATGAATTAGACAAAACAAATCATTTGATAACTTCATAATATGAGAAAAGTAATCCCATGGAGTTCTGTCGCAACATTGACCAAGCATCACAATAAAGTTCAGAAATAAGCAACCCTATTTACTGAATCCCTTCGCCGGAGGTTTTCAAGTAAGCTAACAATAAAATCCAACATACAAGTCATCACCCATAAGATCATGCATCATCAGCTCCATCAGAGGTCGCTCCTCCTTTAAATGGATCATGAGAAGCAATAACATCAGGGCCTACCATGTGGCGATTCACCAATCGCTTTAAATCAGCCATAACCTTAGTTTCACGCTTAGCCTTCTCCTCATAATTAAACATAGCCAAAGCACGCTTGTCCTCAGCACTGTACACTTGGTTTTCCTTTCTGATACGAATGGCATTCATCCTCTGATGCCTACTACCACTCATCACATAGCCGAGAGTCTCAAACTTAGAGATCTCATCGGCCGAAAGACCCACTTCACCTCTTCGTGGAATACGTTTCCCTTGCTGAACATATTGGGCTATAGCATCACCTTCTCCGGGCCTAAGGGCACCTCCATAGTTAACAGGCTGTCCATCAGTTTTTGGCATTGGCATTGGGCCTACTATGGGCTCGGTTTCAGCGGAAGGCTTCATACGTGACTCGATCAGTTCTTTTAATTCGAGAACCTCATTCTTGACTTCACTTCCCAATGTTTCTTCAGGGTTTAACTTAGTTTTTGCACCGGCAGCAGAGTCGGAGCTTTCTCCAGAATGTGAGGGATCACTATCATCAGACACTTTCCTTTTCGATCGGCGTCTAGACTTTGAGGATGAAGATGTTCTTGCCTTCTTTAACTTGACATCATCTTCTGATGATTCGCTAGCTCCAGATGACTCTGTTTCACTCTTCTTGCTCCTTCTACTTTTACTCCTCTTTTTACTACTTCTGCTACTCTTCTTGTGCTGCCTGGTTCGCTTTCTCTTTGATTTACTCCTTCTACTCTTGGTTTTGACTTCTGAATCGTCGCTTGAATCACCCGAATCAGTGTCACTTTCAGAAACAGATCTCAATCTCCTAGTCCGACGCCTAGAGCCAGATTTCCTGCTCTTCCTAGACTTTCTATACCGCGAATCGTCTGATTCTGATTTTGAATCGGAATCTGATTCCGAAGCAGCTTCACTGTCAGATGACTCGCTGCTGGAGACCCTGGAATCGGCCTTAGAGGAATCCCTTCTATCAATCTCTTTATCCTTCAAATCATTGTTCTGAGTTTCATCTGGATCGAAGTCGTCCTCTGGTTCGTTTTCAGATCTAGGCGGGCTAGGCGTGCAATTCCAAATACAATTCTTACGCATCTTCCTCAACTTCTGACGCTTTCTCATCCTAAACTCTTCAAATGTCAAGCCTTTAAGCTCCTCATCTGATTCCGACTCGGCATCTCTTCTATTTCTGTGCTCTCCATTGAAATAGGGTACCCTTCGATCTACTCGTTCTTGTTCGAATTTGTAGGGCATGAAATTAGGGCTACGACGGCGATCATGGTGAGGGGAATAGGACTGCTGGTCATAGCGGTTATTACGGTGAGGGGAATATGACCGCTCGTCACGATGGTTATTACGGGAAGAAGGTTCGTACCTCGAGTAGTCCGGGCTTCGGCTGCGACTCCGCCTAGCGCTGAGACTACGGCTCCGGCTGCGACTGCGATAGCCCCGACGATGAGAACCGGACTCCGGAGAGTGTCGGTGACCGCCGCTGCCTCTGATGTTCTGCCGCCGTTCTTCTGGGATTGCAATCGCAGATGTAAGTCGTCCCATGATGGGGAAGACGACGGGCAAGAGATGATGAAAGGATAAAGGGAACAATTAAATTGAATACAGCTCTAAAAATATACGGAGTACTGATATAACATTGGACTGCGCGAAAGGAGATAGCCCATGTTATCTGATGGGCTTTTTAAGTGTGTACTAAATTATGGCCCATAAAGACCCAACGCACAATTTTAAAAGGTCAATACTGAAAAGTTAAACCCTAGCATTAGAGTCGGTCCGGTCCTGCTTAAGTAGAGAGCAGCTATTTGCGGCGGAGATCGTCCTGGACGGAGGCGCCGGAGTAGAGAGCCGAAGCGAACCAATTCCAAGGGCGGTGCAGCAAAATGGCGGAAAAGGCAGTGACCATCAGGACGAGGAAATTCATGACTAATCGCCTTCTCTCAAGGAAACAATTCGTAAGAACTAATACTATTGATATGGTTTGGGCATGTTTTGATGCCCATTCCTTGTATTAATGCTTTGTGTTTTGAATTCTTTTAGGTGATCGACGTTCTGCACCCTGGAAGGGCTAATGTTTCCAAGGTTAGATTATGGGCATTTCCCTTTTTAAGAAATGCATATTTACGGCCCCGCTTACCTTAAATCTCATGTATTACATTTTGCAAATCAATCTGAAGCTTATTTTTCCCCTCATTGTAATACTTCATGAAAGGCGGAGCTGAAAGAGAAGCTGGCAAGGATGTATGAAGTAAAAGATTCCAACTCAATATTCGTATTCAAGTTCAGGACTCACTTTGGAGGAGGTAAATCAACTGGATTTGGTTTGATCTATGACTCTGTTGAGAATGCAAAGAAATTTGAGCCAAAGTATAGACTCATCAGAGTAAGTCTTTTCTCATTATTGATTTCTTGTTGTTCTATTCTTTTCTTTTTGTTTCATTATTCTTCTTCGTGCTTATCATGAGTACCTATAAGTGCAACAAATTTGTGTAATTCTTCATTTCAACTTGATGTTATATTAATAAATGATTGAAAAACTAGATTTAAGTTTTATTATTAAAATTACGTTACCACTGTGTTTACCATTATTTCAAGCTAATGGCCCATCTTCTTTGCAATTTTGCCTATAGCCAATACAAACAATGAACAATGGATGGATTTATGTATTACCATTATTCTGTAATAAATATTCTAGTATATTAGCTCCACAATCTTGCACGTATCATTGAGTCCTTATAAAGTAGGCATATCATTGAGTGCATAACATCACGCAATATTTTCCCCTACTTTCTTGGCCAGTGTAACATTTTTTGTTGTCTAAGACTCTAGTGGTTCTATGTGACTAAGTCCCTATGTTGCGTTTGTGAACACCAAAAGTCATGGTAAAGTAAAGGACTACCCAGGATTACATTTATGTTTCGGGTTAAAGGTTTTATTAATAGGCATCTTAAACTTTGCAGATCACATTTCAAAGTTATGTGCAACACTTTTTAAATTTGAAAACACCCCCCCCCCCCCATAATTCCTAAAATCTGTTTTCCCGTAATGAGCTCTTTCCAAATTAACCAAAATCGCAAATTAGGCCTAAAACTGTCTGTTTCTTCTAAATTTACTCTGTCGGATAGTCTTTTTTTCAGGGGAGGCTGTACCTTTTATTTTTAAGAAATTGCCTTAAACTGGAGTAAATAATGTGTAATTCCAAAATATGAGCACTATTATTTATTCTCAAAATAGGAGTTTTTCCATGTTGGAAAATACTAGCAATTATAGCAGAATTACTGCCATATTGAAAGCCTAGTAATATTAAGGTAAGTTTCTGGATGACAGTAAGTTACTCCTATTTCGGGAACTTTTTCTCTATTTTTTTTATTTTTTTGAAAGCTAGTAATTATTACTCCAAATTTAATATGAATATTAATTATTAGGAATTTTATCAATTCGGGACCCGAAAGATAGATTAATTATCAATTCAGGACCCGAAAGATGAAACGTATCGGTATAGGAACCGGATGATGGAAAACTATCAATTTAGGACCTAATATTTCATAGGTTTTGATTTATTTAATTTTTTATAAAATCCATTACTAACTTTTGATAAACTTTTCTTCACAAAAGTTAATTTGTTTAATAAAACTAATTAATATTTTAAATTTTTAAAATAAAAATAATAATAAAATTCATGACAACTTAGGTCCTAGATTGATAGTTTCCAATCATTCAGGTCCTAAATTGATAGTTTTTCATCATTCGGGTCCTATATCGATACGTTTCATCTTTCGGGTCCTGAATTGATAATTAATCTATCTTTCGGGTCCTGAATTGATAAAATTCCTAATTATTATTGTCATGTATCCCCTTAACATATTCCATATATTGTTTAAAGTGATTGACCTAAACCTGTCTGTGGACTTGGCTGTATAGGAGTCGTAAGTGTTCACCACTATAGCTACTTTTAAAACAAACTTTTTTTGTTAAAGCATACGGAGTATGTAATATTATATTTCTGACTGATAAAACTATATTTGCAAAATCTGGACTATATTGAAGATACTGCTATGTGAATAACATCTATGTCCTCGTGCAGAATGGGTTGGATACTAAAGTTGAGAAGTCAAGAAAGCAAATGAAGGAACGGAAGAACAGATCTAAGAAAATCAGAGGAGTGAAGAAGGTTTTTACCAACTAACAATTCCTTTTGTCGTTAAAAAAAACTAACAATTCCTTTTGGAGAAATATGTGTGGGCCTTTTGTTTAGGATCTTATATACAGGATGTGATTTAATTATTACTTTACACATTTTGCAGACAAAGGCGGGAGATGCTGCCAAGGCTGGAAAGAAGAAGTAATAAAATTGGTAGCCAATGTAGGTCAAGCTGAACTTGAGAAATGGATTGCATTGCCATGTCTAGCATTTTCCATTTTCTTTCTTTTTATCTTTCTTTCTTATGGACCTTTTCCCTGCTATTTCACATTTTTGCTGGATGTTGAGTGTAATGATAGGGGTATAGCTTGAACTTTTCTTTTATAGTAGTATAGCCATATGTTTGCTCTATGTCTGATATTTATCTCCTGCCAAATGAACTAGATTTTAAATTTTTTAAATCATGGGTCTTAAGCTAGGTTCTAGTGAGCCACAGATATTCATGGGTTGAAACTTGAAATTCTTTCTGAGTCCCCCCAACCCATCCCTCACTCTTATGGTCAGTTTGGATTGGATTTTCCCATCCAGAATTGGACCATGTGAACTGTGAAGTACACTCCTCAACTTTCTCTAACCTCTCAAATGAAAACGTTGCCCGGGAAACACTTGAGTAAAGACACAAATATAAAAGTATCAGGCCATCAGCTCAGCAGCATGCTGGTCCATTGGTCTTTGGTCAACTTGCCAGCTTCCCTCTAGGCATGGACCGGGCCGCTCCAAACTGGGACAATTTGTTTTGGGGTAAGGCCCGGTACCGGCCCGGGATTTTACCGGATCTGGGCCGGGTCCGGGGCTTGACATTTTTTTAATTGGCTTTTCTAATTTATTCTCACCCCCCAACCCCGCTAAAATACCCAGCCAGACCCACCTAGCATAGGCCCAAACCCAAAAAATTACTCCCTCTGTCCCGCTATGATTGTCCCATTTTACTATTTCGGTCCGTCCCACTAAGATTGTCTCATATCTTATTTGGTAAAGTTTATGTGGTTCTAAATCATTTCTACTTTATTCTTACTTTATCAATTCAATATCAACCACATAAACCCACTTTTATTAATAACCGTGCCACCTTCTCTTGTCCCAAACTTAGGGGGACGGAGGTAGTAAAAAAAAAATGGCCCGGACCGGTCCCGGTAGAGATGGACCCGGGCCCCGGCTGGGCCTAGGACCGGCCGGGCCTTGGTTCAGGAAAGGGGAGGCCCGGAACCGGCCCGGGTAACCCCTGGGTCTGGGTCGGGCCGGGTCACCCGCCCGGGTCACGGGTTGGACCACCCGACAGGCTGGGCCTTTTTTTAATTATATATTATTATACAAATTCTTATTAAAAACAAAATTCAAGTGCATTTATTTGAAATAGGAAGTACATTTGAGAATTGAGAAAAAAATAACAATATGAAATACATTTTCTAATAAATATCAATTGGGATTTCCGCCACCGTTGGTTGTTGTTTAGCCTTTGTCACATGACTTCATATGTTTTATTGGCATCCTGACTCCGTGTGAACACCCCAAACAACACTCTTTCTTGCATCACTTGCAAGTTGCTCACCACAGTCTGGTCTTCGGATCCTTCCACTTATCAAAATTGTTTTGTATAAGAGAAGAATTACTTTCCATCTTTAAAATGGTAGATGTATAAGTAGGAATGTAGGATAATAAGAGAAGATGAAGATGGAGAAGAGGTGTAGAAAAATGGTAGAAAATAGATGTATTTATAGATTTTTTTGATCCCCACTCCCCACATCACCACCCCCGGGACCCCCCTGCCCCCACCTAAAGCCCCAACGGCTATATAGCCGTTTGGGAGCTATTTTGTATTTTAAAATGTTTTTAATTTTTTTTTTGAAAATTATACATATTGTAAAATAAGTTAATTAATTTAATGAATTAAGTAAAACTATTTTTACTTAGAAAAGTGGTTTGATTTATAATTTACAAATGTTACAAAATAGGTGTATAAGTATTTAAACAAATTACATATTGTAAATGTATTTTTAATTTAAAAACAACCTTTAGATTTTAGAAAAATAATTTTAAGTTGTAACTTGTAAGTTTGTAACCAATTAATTAATTTGAGAAGTGCTACTTATGAAAAAATGAACGCATATTTATTTGAAATATGAAGTACAAGTTCACAAATTAATTTTATTGAATTGATTATTGAATAATTTTTTTTTGTTGATTATTGAATTGATGTACACAATAATATAATATAATTCAAGTATATTTATTTCAATTTTTTTTTTTTTTTTTTTTTTTTTTTTTTTAGAGAAGGAAGTTTTATTAAGGATAACAAAATAAACGATTACAAATGAAAAAAGAAGACAGAAGAGGAACAAAAAGAAAAAGAAAAGGAAATACCCAATCCCCAAATACATTTTTTTCCCTACCCAAAAAAGCCCTAACTCCCTTTATCAACATCAACGCTCCTTGCGAGTTTGAGATCGTGTTTTCATACGATGTGAATGTGGAGTCCTCTTTTTGTAAGTTTTCATTTGCAGATTCAGATTACTTGTAGGCAAACAGTTATCCCTTGTGACAAGTAATGCTTTATTACAAATATTCTGATTAGTGTCAAAATCCCATAAATCATCTACCGTTGATATAGGAGTCCGCTTTTCGTTATCTGAAGTGTGTCCAAGATATGTATCCCCGAAATCTGAATCAACATACTCTCCAATTCCCCTTGAGGAGCCATGCTCCAGAATATCACAATCTGAAAAATCCGAGTGTTCAAAGCGCCGCTCCGTATATACTGTGTTTTCTTTGATTTCTTCTGACTGAGCGCCCCCATTTCCATCCTTGCTTTGCTCAATGGCAAGCCCATCCTCATATTTTTTACTCTCATGATGTTGTGTCATAATACGCTCATACTCCTTGGAAAGGAAAGTTGTCAAATTGGTCACACTCGAGTTCATAATATCCTGAAGAAATGATTTCAGCTCTGAAATAGAATGATCTAACACGGAACAAAAATGAGAAGGATCAAAAGATGAGATTGTATGAGAAATGCCCAAAGTGTTGTGAGTTCTCCCAGAAAGTACTGAATCAGCATGCACTAGGACATCTGAAATAGTAAGCTCCTTGGTCTCCATAGAATAGCAATCCATGCGCTTAATGACATCGTTGATGATTTCAACATCTGTAGAAAAAGTCCCATTTGGATTTTGTTCGACAGTTCGCGAATGTTCCTGCTTAGGAGCTGATTCCGTGATTGTAGAGATAGCCCGTGAAAGACCTGCAATGAACCTAGTGATACCAACCCCATTTTTACCTTCCGGTATGAAGATAGAGTCTGAGCCTGAAAAAATTCTTACATATCCCCCAAAATGATTGCCATCCAAAAGAAGAGTGATGCATTTGCTTAAAACTATTCTTGATATGACTTTTCCAGATCGAAGCTTTGGCAAACATTTAATCAACCAAATGGCACCATCACTATCAAAATCAATACTAGAAAATAACCCATGTTTTGTTTCTGTAATGCGAATGTGTGAATCTGATGCTTGAAAGGAAAAATATTTACTTTCAATAAATCCATCAGAACAGTTTTTTAACCTCCCAGGTTGATGGAGAGAATTACCACATAAATCTGTGTACTCCACAGCTGATTGGCTCCCCCTGTAGTTGAAATCTGTCTTGCGCTGCCTGTGTGCAATTGGAGTCCTCCTGCGATGATGTACATCTCGCCCAACTAGAGCTAGCCGGGATTGAGGAAACTTCTTACTCTGTCCTCCGCAGCCTCTCCATCGATGGTTTGCATCACGAGCATCTGTCCTGCGCCTCTCGTGAGAAGGAATCCCCCTGACTCGTTGCTCTACAGTCGATGATGCTCGTCGGGACTGTGTAATGGAAAACTTCATGCTTGGATGATCATATCTTCTCCATGGATGGCCTGCATCTATGCTTCTCCAATAGTGGTTCCCAGACCCCCGAGCTGACAGACGCCGTTCCCAGTGCATCGTCGATGGTTTGAGGCCTACTCGGGATCTATTGATATCCTGTCTCCATCGTTGGGTATTTGGGTTTGGTGAGGTCCCGTCTAGTTCCGGTCGAGTAGCTGGTCGTCCTATTGCAGTCCCTTCCTCGAATGTAGATCCATGGCAGATCCCCTTTTTAGCCTGGAAGTCTGAGGTCGCATTTGTGCGTTGTTGGTCAGTCTCGGCTATAGGTGTGACGAAAGAACCGAAAAGAATTGAAATCCCTGCTCCGGCGGCTGTGGTCTCAGTTCTATCGCCGGCTTTAACGCCGGACTCCCGATGAGTGGCCAGAATCGCCAGACCCTCTAACCCTTCGTCTTTTAGTATTTCATATATTTATTACAAATAAGAAGTACAATTGAGAATTAGGACGAATTTAATAAATGTAATACATTTTGTAATAAAAAATCAATCGGAATCTCCGCCTTCGGTGGTTGTTTCCTCCATAAAGTGGCGGGTGGGAGCGATGGTCATTTCTTGAGTTCTTCGTTGGGCCTTCAACCAATCGTGGAAGCAAACTAGCGTCTCAAGAGAGCTCGGGCTCAACCTCGTTCTATAATCGGTTCGGACGTTGCCAGCCGCACAAAATTCTTGTTCCACGGCAACTGTTGATATCGGCATTGATAAAATCGGGAACGTTCTTTCATTTTCCTTCCACCACTTAAGAACGTCAAAGTCATCCCCAACTTCATAATCAACATTCAATGTTAGATACAAAGAAAGCTCGTTAACTGAGCTTTGTTCAGTAGCGGGAGTTGCTCTACTTTTTTTCAATAGAGAACCAAATGTAGATTTTAAAAGTGATTTTCCTTTAGATGAAGAAGATGTTCGCGGCATGGGAGGGGGTGCATTACCATATTGTGCATGAAATTCATTATACAATTGATGAAATAAATTACTAACCTCGTTGTATTCTTGTTTAGGGTCGATGGGATTATCATCGAACTCTTGAGTTGAAAAAAAAAACATAATAGTAATCTATACAAGTTCCCAAGTAAGCAAGTTTATAACGAGGATCAGGAACAAATGCAATACCATATATATGCGGAATATGTGAATAATATTTTAAAAACTTTTGTTTCATGAATCACAAAAATAACTAACGTAAGCGGCATCGGAAAATTCACAAAAAGCGCCGGTGAGATTAACAGTTTCAACAAAAAAATTGTTTGCGGTAGGTTTATAAATATGACTAAAAGTTTGAGTTGCGTTATTAAAATATACCAAAACATTAACAATTTTTTCACAAGTGTCGATGTCAGCCGGGTTTATAATATAGTTATAAGATTGTCTTAAAAAAGCAGGAAAATGATCTTTATATCTAATAAGTACTTGAATTAAGTTATAAGTACTATTCCAATGAATAGACAAATCTTTAGGAAAAGCACAATAATTGACACGTCTATCCTTCAAATATTGCCGTCATTGCATTTTTAGTGGAGTGTTAGCTCAAATCAATTTAAGGAGTGTTTGGGATTGATTAAAAAAAGCGCTTTTCAGCTTTTGGCTTAAAAAAAGTTGAAAAGAGTGTTTTCAAATGATAGCTTCTGCTTAATTTAATCACTTAAAAGCTAAAAGCTGGAAGCAGGTAGAAGGGCGCTTTAAACTGCTTCTCACTTTTTCTATTACACAAAAAGTAATTATTTTACCAACCACTACCAACTTTTACTTTTTCAGAATCACTTTTTTTGTCAAACACTACCAACTTTTACTATTAATCACTTTTCCCAAAATCACTTTAAAAAATCACTTTTTTAAAGTTGAAGCAATCTCAAACACTCCCTTAATTCCCCCCTTCACTACCTCCAAAGCATCTCCTAATGCCGCTAACCCATCTTGTACACACAAATTTAGAATATGACATGCACAACGTTGATGAAAAAACCTACTCATCAATGTAGAAGCACCACACAATTCACGCAATCTAGGTATAACAGCAGTATTATTACTAGCATTATCAAAACCAAACACCTTATCAATCAAATTATACTCAATTAAAATACGCTCAATGAGAATATAAATATTATCAGCAGTGTGACACCGCACCCGAACGTCCTTGAAAATTCGATTTAAAAATTCAAAAGTGATGTATTGAATTTCCGATTTCAAAGCAATGGAAGAAACGATTAATATTTTACGAAGTACATGATTGAATATTGTATTGTTCAAACCCGCATTCTTTTGTAATTTTCATCGTGTAAATTATTGGGATGAGCCTACACATATTGGAGATCAATAATGTGATTTAGGAAGTTGACTTGCTCTAAATAAGTTAGAATGAGTACAAAAAAAGACATCTTTTGACAAAGATAAAACAATAGGACCCATCTTCTCATTTTTGGAAGTATTGGTAGATATTTTGGACCCCAAATTAAATGGGATCATTTGGGAACCATCCCACATGACCTTGGTACCTGCAAAGACAAAGAAAAATGGATGAGACAACTATGTGGGGCGGACTTTTGACTCATGAGCTACAACATTACAAAAAGGAAATAAAAGAGGAGGTTCATACCATGTTTGATTGTAATCAAATACCCCACCCTTCTTTTTTGTGAACCACATGCTCTCTTAGCATGATTGAGGCCTTCCTAATACATTTTCCCTACACCCCATTCGAACTCCCAAGATAAGAGAGAAAGAGGGAGCCACATATTCCAAGGGAGAAGAGAAGAGAGAAGCTGGCCGCAGGATTCGTTTTCCAGCAGATAGGGTCTCTTGTTTGATTCATAACTTGAGCTTCACTCGTCCAAATAAGGCGTATGATATACCAAAAGAAAGCTCTCAAGACGAGGAATCTGTGAAGGCCTGGTTTGCAGGAATCGGAGTTGTGGAAGGCTTCCAAATCGTCCGAGAAAAACGCAACCTCGCAGGAGAGGATTTAATCTTCTAAAGTGAGTTTTAACCCCAAAGCTTTACTTTTCATTCTCCAAATGATATGAACGATTGGTGAGACTATTATACACTAATCCAAGTGTATAATATGTCCTTATAAATTTATTTTATTGATGTAAAGGTTAGATACTAACCTAGATGCAAATATTGGAAAACTAGGAATCGAGTTAGCCGGAAAACACCCGTTCTAGGGGCTGTTTTCGTATCAACGATTAAGGGTTGAACTAGCACTTTGAGGAGGCTGTTTAACACTCATATTTGAGCAAGGAATCAGTCCCAAATCCACCTTGACCAAAGATTTGACCGTTGGACCAAGAAGGGAAAGTTTAAAGCTCAATTGAGGTGAGGATTGACATCTAATTGCTTACAACTTGTAGGTTAAGCATGAGATTACCTAAATGTTTAAATCATGATTTTTCATGGATTATGATGACTATATATTGATGAAATATTGATATAGTTGCCAAAGAATGAATTTGGAATGATTTGAGAAAGTATGAACGATATGAGATTAAATGAGTATAAATGAACTATTTTGTGAAAATGGGCATTTGCTCATGTATGAATTATGTGGATACATAAATGAATATTTGTGTATTGAGATTGAATACTTAAGTTGCTGCTACATAATTATAAATATGTAGAGAATTACAAACAATGAGGATAATGGTACGATAACAATAATCTTAATAGTATTGGAATACTAGTTAGTGATTATTGGAACTTGTTGATTAAATTGATCCTAGGGATTGGATTGTATGAAAGGTACTTGAATGTAGTTCAAGTGTATATGATAACTTAGTATGGAACTAAGGTTAAGTTATGGGGAGCCTTTAAGGATGACCCATGGTAGTTTAATGATATGTCAATTCTAGGCATAGGGTTGCTTGAGAATTGGACCTTAATGCATGGTGATGTGATAGAGCCGAGCTCTAGAATGCATGTAAGGTGTAGACTTGGAGTCTATGTATTGTATAGCTAGAGCCGAGCTCTAGGACTTGCGTGGTGATGTGATAGAGCCGAGCTCTAGAACGCAAGGTAGGGAGATTGACCCGAGGTATATGAATTGTATGGTGATGTGGTAGAGCCGAGCTCTAGAATACAATGTCATGTACTAGGGTTGGACTCTAGGAGTTGTCGTGGCTTATAGTCACGGGGTTGGGAATGGTGATTTCCAAATAAACATGGGCCCACGGGCCGACTACTTGACTTTTATATTAAGTAAGTATATTTTTAAACGGGGTAACTAGGGTTACAAATCATAATGTACTATCACCCTATTTGAGGGTCTTGTGTTTGAAATACTTGTTGTATATCTATTAGATGCCTGCCACACCAGTACTTTATAGCCGTATAGAGTACTGACCCCTTCGGGGGCGTCCCACCACCATTTTTCAGGTTGAGGCTAGAGCTTGCTTCCTGTGCTCGTTGCTCGAGAGATCATATAGGAGGGAAGACTTGGTTCGTGCTTCCTCCATACTGTTTTTAAACCTTCCTAAACGTGCTCATGGATATTTTACTATGGAGCCTGCGTGCTCATGAAATGCCTTGTGTGGCCTTTTGTTTTAAACAATGTTTCCGCTGCGTTATGAATTACTTATTATGTTTGTTTATGGATGTGTATGTGTGAATGATACTCGAGACGCCTTGTATAATATGAATGTGTTGGACTGCGGTTGACTATTCGTATTGTACGGCGGGTTGTTGACGTGTCCGGATAGGTCCGGGGCGTGACAAGCAGTGTGACGATCATTGAATTCACGAAAAGCAAGAACACGTTTATGCATATTCCAATCATCATCAATATAATGTGCAGTAAGACCCAAGTAATATAAATGATGATAAGTATCCTCCCATATATTGCTACAAATACTAACACGTCCATCAAAGTTTGAGAAATATGTTTGTAATTTTTCTTTTTCCAAGTTATATTGCCTTATAACTTCTTTTTTAATCGTTTTGCGACTATAATTTCTAAATTGAGGATTTAAAGTACCTTGAACATAATCTCTTAAAGCAAGACTTTCGTAAAAAATATAGGGTAAATTTTCTTCAACAATTAAATGAGACATACTAGTCAAATGTTTTTGATCATCATAGGAGAAATTACCAAAAGGTTGAGAATTTGCAAACCTCGATATTTGTGTTTGCTTCCCCTTGCCTTTGTCTATTTTCGCATACTCTACAAAGTGGGCGGACTTAAGATGCCTTGTCAGACTCCCTTATCCGTCAGAAGTTCCCAAGCTATACTCTTTGTTGCAATGATTGCAACTTGCGTACCATTTATCGGTATTTTTGTCTTTCCTTTTTGTAAAATTGTTTTCAATAATAGGACATTTATATTTCGTACCAATTTGGGATGAACCGCCCTCGTCCTCCAACTCTTGCTCATCATCCGGGGTGCCGTGAGTCCCGTCGCCCCCCTCGTCCTCCTCCACATCGTCATTCTCGAGCTCCTCTTCATCAATGATTGTCGGGAATTGTTGTTCTTGTGCAAAGCATGGATCATTTTGGGACAATAGGTTTTGTAGTTGCTCGTCGGACATCGCCATATCATCTCTCCGTTGGTAATCCGTTTCAAAATCATCTCGACTTTGAACAGAAGACTCGGCCCACGCTTTACCTTTGCCTTTGCGTGAAGTAGGACGAGTCGCCGCAATCTCCCTCTTGCGGTTGCGTTGGAGATTACCCATATCTACAGAATGTCTACCACGGACCATCTTTAAAATTGAACAAATATTAAATGATATCACACATTTTATATGAGTACAATAGTAATAATAAAATGTGACTTAGAAAACTATAGCAAATTCGAACTAAAATATGAGTATATCAAATGTAACAATTTGTTTTCCTTGAAAAAAAAATCGAACTACTACTAATTAATACTTTAATGAGAAATGTAGCAATTAACTAATATTAATATGAGAAATGTAACAATTAACTAGTTTAACTAATATTAATATGACAAATGTAAAATTTAACTAGTTTTTTTTTTTACTTTAATAAGCAATGTAGCAATTAAGTAATATTAATATGACAAATGTAACAATTAACTAGTTCAACCAATATTAATATGACAAATGTAAAAATTAACTAGTTTTTTTTACTTTAATGAGCAATGTAGCAACTAAGTAATATTAATATGACAAATGTAACAATTAACTAGTTTAACTAATATTAATATGACAAATGTAAAAATTAACTAGTTTTTTTTACTTTAATGAGCAATGTAGCAATTAACTAATATTAATATGACAAATGTAACAATTAACTAGTTTAACTAATATTAATATGAAAAATGTAAAAATTAACTAGTTTTTTTTACTTTAATGAGCAATGTAGCAATTAACTAATATTAATATGACAAATGTAAAAATTAACTAGTTTTTTTACTTTAATGAGAAATGTAGCAATTAACTAAGTAACTAGTTTAACTAGTATTAAATGAAAAATGATATGTAACAAGTAATTATTATTTTTCTTTAAAGAGAAATGTAGAGAAATGTAACAATTAACTAATTTAATAGATAAATGAGAAGTCTAACAATTAACTACTTTTATAAAATGTATGAATGTGTATAAGTCTATATCGTTTATATAATGTGTAAATGTAATATAAGTAATATATAATATAATGTTTATAGTATATAATATATAAGTATATTACTATAAGATGAGTAATACACTTATACTTAATACTTTAATATATATATATATATATATATATATATAAGTATATATTAACTAAATGTAATATGTAAATATAAGTAAATAACAATAGTATGGATAAAAACTAAATATCAAGTAAATATGAATGTGTATAAGTATATATAGTATATATAATGTGTAAATATATTATAAGTAATATATAATATAATGTTTATAGTATATAATATCTAAGTATATTACTATAAGATGAGTAATACACTTATACTTAATACTTTAATATATATATATATAAGTATATATTAACTAAATGTAATATGTAAATATAAGTAAATAACAATAGTATGGATAATAACTAAATATCAAGTAAATATGAATGTGTATAAGTATATATAGTATATATAATGTGTAAAGAATTATAATATGAATGTGTATAAGTATTGTTGGGATAATGAGCCGGGTCCAAGACTATCGACCCAATACGCCTGCCGGGTCCAAGACTATCGACCCAATACGCCTGGGCTCGGGCTCGGACCAGGCCCAGCACACGGTCCGGCTAGAGAAGATGGTCCGTGGAATGATTTGGTTGACTCTTGGGCCGACCGATCAGCCCATTAGCCTTGGATCAAGCTTCTTGTTTTATTTGTTTAATTGGGCCAAGTCCATTGGCCTTAGCACGGACCTCTTGTAAGCGCCTATAAATAGGCCGCCCCTTCTTTTGCACTGGACACGTCACTTTTACCATACTGAATTGCTGCCGAATTTTCTACTCAACATATTTTCTAACAACATTGGTGCTTTGTGAGAGTCTCTCGTTGTCTCTCATCACTTTGGTAGGAATCAATCACGAAATTTTAGAAAAAATGGGCGAAGATCAACAGTTTCTAGCAGTTTTTCAGGTTCCTGACTCAAAATCTGGAAAAAGAATGAAAAATCAGGCGTGAAAGAAACTATGGAATCTGGAATTTCAGACCAGAACAAGCAGTTGCCGGAGCAACCGTCCCCAACCGCCGTGGACCCGTTGGCGAAGTTGGCTACACCCGCAAAAGCATCGCCAGCGCAGTGCCAACCGCAACCCTGAATCTCTCCATCGTGGTGCACCGCCGGCTGTATTTCAGATCCAGGGAAGGCAAGCTCCACAAGTTCTTCCCTTAAACCAGATCCATAAGGGCATGGGAGCACTCAAGTGCGTGCGGTGGCGACCGGAGAAAGCCAGACCCAGACGGACAAAGGTCATGATAGCTCGCTCCTCCGTCGCAGTTACGCCGCTGCCAGGTTTGTTTGCAGTGGCTCTGCCACTTCACCGTCGCCGATTGTGTCACATCTCTCCACCTCCGTCGAGGACTCAGGGCAGAGGCCTCGTCGCAGGTACCGCGGAGGTTCTGGCAGGTTATCCTGGGCGGCGACGAGTTTTTGGTGTGGTGCAGGCGTGCAGCCCTTTAAACAGATGGCTCACGTCGTCAATTCCCGACGATACTCACCACACTTGACTTTCGATGCTTTCCATTTTCTGCCAAGTACAAGAAGTGTGGCCAGCTTTTGTTGACCAAGTCAAATTGGCCCATGATCTAGGAATTTAAGTGGTCAACCATTCGAGCCACATTTGAAAGATAAGTACCGTACAATTTCCTCAATATAATTAATATGTGGAAATGTTTGACTAAAAAAATCACAAGCTAAAACACTTGAAAAGATAAATTAAGTGGTATAATTGCTTTTACTCTTTTCAAATGTGTGTAATTTTAACATTGAAAAACGGACTTATGAAATCCGATCACTCACGTACACCGGACGAGCACACACACTCGTACAATGGCTGAACACACACACTCGCGCCACCGGATCATGTCATATGGGTGTGGCGATTAATAAGCTCCAATATAAATGTTAATACCGCACACTCTTGATTTCATATGAGTTCTCGCGTGCTCTTACCCCCTTTCCAGTGCATCGCACTCCGACCTCGGGGGACGTGTCGCCCGTTCAAAAGTCTTCACTTGCGGGTTCGAACTACTAACCTCGGGTGACGAGTTAAACTCTTGTTAGGGGCTTAGAGCCACGCTCCTCCGAGCAATTTTGTCACTTAATTGACATTCACATTTCCCGAAAAGGTTGATATACTTTAGTTCTATGGGGTTGGATTATTCGTTCGAATGGTGACTCCGAGTCACTTACTCGCGGATTCAATCTTTCCTTTCGGAGACTAAGTTGAGGCCTAACTTGGGAACTTGATGTCACTCTTTTCGAGTAATGAGTCTGACTCACTTACTCACTGAGTCGTGGTTCAGCACTGGGTCAGATGCTCTATTCTACATTTGTTGCTTTTATGTGTAGGTACGAGTGAACGAAGACGAGCCTGATGAGTCCGAGCCCGATGAGAAGAACGGTTCTAGCCATCCGCTTCGCTGATGGTGACCATTGCAATAAAGGCTGAAGATTTCACCCTTTGCTTCATATTGGGGGCATCAGGTGTACTCTTTTTTCCTTCATTAGGATTTTTTCCCATTGGGTTTTTTCCTAATGAAGGTTTTTAATGAGGCATCTCCCCAACATGGACAAGGGCGGAGATCTTCCAGTCTCGGAGAACGGCAGCTGACTTGGACTACTCCCTCTTAGCCGAGTCTACTACTCGACTAAGGGAGTGGGGGACTCGTGATGGAGTTATGGGACTAGGCCCAGTCAGCCCAAGCCCCGAACTTGGACCCGTGGATCCAGGTCCACAACCTGGAGCCTGCCTACCATCCCAACGGGGAGCCTGCCAGTCCGGCCGACCTGCCAGCCAGGAAAAGTAACGGTCAAGCAATTAATGCGCTGTTTAATTATGTATTTAATTCTGTATTAATGTTGTAATTAATTAGTCATTATTAGCGAATAACAGTTACGATTTGTATACGCCTATAAAAGGCATGTTGTAATTCAGATTAGGGAGAACAATTTCTACATGCTATTTCTGGCTCTCAAACTCCCTAGCTACTTTCCATATTCGTATTGCTTTCTACTTTCTTGCTTGAGTGTTCTTACGTAGCTTTCCTAAAAGCCTACGAGCGTCCTATTTTGGACCAACAAGTATATATAAGTATATATAAGTATATATTTATAACTAGATAATTAATATATAAGTAGATATAATAATTATATAAATTATATATATGTAGAAAGAATTTGGAGAAGATGAAGAATGAAGATGATTGAATATGAGAGATTGAGAGAATAGAGAATTAGAGAGTAGGAAGAGTTGTAGAAGAAGAGGTGTAAAAAATGTATAGAAATAGGATTATAAATAGGTTTTTTTTGTATACCTCACCCCCACCCTCACCCCACCCCCTAACCCCCCAAACCCCCCATACCCCCCCTCCTATGCCCCCAACGGCTATAGAGCCGTTTGGGAACAGTCCTAACGGCTATAGAGCCTTTAATTACTTTATAAAAAAATATAAAAAAACATTGACCGTTGAGGCCCGGACCGGGCCCGGCCGGGCCGGGCCGGTTCACTTATACGCAGGCCCGAGCCCGGACCGCTATCAGACCGGGTCGGGTGGCCCGAACTGACACCCAGACCGGTTACAGGGCCGGGCCGGGTACAAACAGTACCGGTCCGGGCCGGTTCCGGACCGGTTAGCCCGACTCGAGTCCACCCCTAGGTCCCGGACTAGCCGGGCCGGCTCCCCTTTTGGTGCGCACGTAGCTTGCCTTTCAACCCCCCTTGTTCGGGCCCAGTGGACCGGTCCATTTCCTAGTTGCCTAGGGCCGGGCCGGTACTAAATAGTATCGGTTTGGGCTGGTCTCTGGGCCGGTCGAACCGGTCCCGGTCCATCCCTACATCACTCCCCATTTTATAACTTTTTCTATTCTTAAATTTTCCACTCAGTATTGTTTTTGTTGATCTTACGAGCCCCTTCTTCGGTCTTGGTATTTTTACAAAAACAATGTTTAAAGATGTTTACAAAAGAATTCTTTTTTTTTTTTGAAGAAGGTGGTTTAAATTGGCATCACAGCATTCAGATAGAGTAAACAGACAAAAGGACCACAATTAACCATCAGTCCTCAAACCATACTTAGAGTCAAAGTAGCAATATGACTCGTTGATCCTGTAATTGGCATAAATGAGCCAAAGGCGGTCAAGGCAGACCTCCCATCATCCAATCATAAATAGAACAACAACATGCAGTTTGAAATAAATAAAACAAACAAAATAAAACGGAATTAAAATAGAGATCACCCGTTTTCTTTCCAACCCTAGATTGTCCAGCACTCCATGCAGTGATGGACCCGGGCCGGGCCGGGCCGGTCCGGTTCGGGCCTAGGCCCGGGCGGGCCGGCGGTTCAGGATTAGTGGACCCGGGACCGGCCCGGGTAGCCACCGGGTCCGGGCCGGGCCTCCGGTTTGGGTATTTTTTTTTGCTTTCCTAACTCTCCCCTCACCCCCCAAACCCCTCGTAGCCATCAAGCCCAACCCGGGTGGAACCCCAAAAAATGAAAAGAAAAAATCAATTTGGCCTGGACCCAGGCCCAACCCGGCCAGGCCGTTTCACCAAAAGTGAGACCCGAGCCCGGACCCCCCCCCCCCCGGGCCTAGGCCCGACTCGGACCCGGACCCGAGAACCGGTCCGGTCCCGGACCCGGGCCGGTCCATGGGTCGGGTGGCCCGACCCGACTACCCGAGTCCACCACTAACTCCATGGTTGCGGTTCAGGAGGAGACGAGCCAGTAGTACTGTAGCTTCTTCCAGACCACGTATCTTATTCATCATGTTCTCTGTCAAGTCTCCACTTTCGTCACCAATCACATATGACCTTGAAACCATATCGGTTCCATCTTTTAACCTCAAGATTCGAGCCTTCATTCATGACCTTGATGTCATCCTCTCGCTATTGCTGTCTCTGATTCTTGTTTGCACCAAGAAACTCGTCACATGGGAAAAGCCACAAATCGAAAAGCCGCCCAATTGATCAGATCGGCGGAAGAACTGAAACTCTAACTAGAGGGAGACCACCGGTGCTTCGTATTATTTCATCAGATAGATATGCACAATTTCATATCTCACTACCTCGATACTCCTTGCGTCTAGCAGCAACCTCCTCACGGGAGTCGCAGCACTCCCAGAAACTCCCGTTTAGAAAAGAATTCTAAAAAAGTTTTTGTTCATTTGTTGATTTATTCTCTATTCTCTCTCTCTTTTTTTTTTTTTTTGAAAATATCACTGTTGGATTCAAAGGTTGTGCAGACGCCCCATGTTTTTTGTTCAAATGTTTGAAAAACAATAAAAACTTTTGTTTATATATGCACTTTTTTAATAAAAAATATTTGTGGGGCTGTTGAACCAAACAAATAAAAAAAGAAATGAAATTGGTATTTGTACACGCCATTGGAAACGATGGTATTTTGTTTGTCAAGAGACTATTTTGTCCATGTAGAGACATTTTTTCATTTTATAGGGAAGGGTAATTCTATTCACAGCCCTTCATTTACTAAACACAGCCACATATTTTTTATAACCCTATTATATCCTTATTATTGTACTTCGTACTTAACAAATCTAATACAGCTCGTAGACCCTCCCAAGAACTGGAACACTGTTACAACCCCGTCAAATCCTTGTAGCTCATGTATGAAGAGAAAGGAAACTCAAAATTAAATACATTACCGATTAAAAATGCCAAGAATCACAGATTTATATGTGTAGAAGTGGAGTTGATCATATGGTGCCTTTTTTATTTTGTTGAAAGAATTTTATTCCAAAAAATTCAATACAGAGTAGCACCTCTAGCACATACGACGTATGTTTGATGTTCCCATTATCGAGAATCCATCTTACTTCTCTTTATTCGAAGTAGTCAATACAAGTAGCACATATATTTATCACTTCTCTTTTATTCGAAGCATTTTTCTTCTTCCCCTTATTCGCCTTATTCGAGAGATCTAATCTCAGTGCTGATCGAAAATGTCCAATGAGAAAAGGGCCGCAAAGGATGAGCCTCAGAGTTGCAGTGCGTAGTGGTCAAAGTGTTGCAGGAGTAATTACAAAGTAGAAATCGTATATCACCGCCTGTTTACTTGAGGGTATGTTAGAGATTTCAGTTATATTAGGGGCTGTAAATAGCAATTTAGGGGCTGTGATTAGAATTACCCTATAGGGAATTACTATTTTGTCACACGAGAGGCTCTTTCGTCCATGTAGAGACATTTTTTCCTTTTGCAAGGAGAATTGTATTTGACATTGACAAATATTTTGTCAGTGTTATTGATGTGAGTTTTCTCGCACTTAAAAAGATTGTAATAAAGTGGTGTAAGTACGAGTATCGTCTCCACAGGGACGGACAAAAGGGAATCAAGAATTAATTAAATTCAGCGATAAAAATAAATAAAATAAAAGCGTCGTGCGAGATTGATTGGTTGGAAAATTAAACTAATGCGAATGAGCGATAAAAATAAAAAATGAGTTTCTCTCTAATTAATGACGAAGGGAACATGGATTGATTCCGGGGCAACCAAATTTCTGGCAGATCAGGCCTAATTACATGAAATTAATTTAATTGAGCCTAGCTAATCATTACTAAGTTCTTACCGTTCTCGCGGCGTAGAGTACAATAATTTAGGGGACCAGGCTGATCTCTCATGCGACAGGATCCTAAATTATTGCCAAGACGAGCGAGCTTACGGCCCCTTAATTGCTACTAATCTCTTAGCGAACGATTAAGTGTGTGTGAATGTGTCCTAGAATAAACTAGATCTCTCTTAATTTATTCTACAAGCAATTGTAATTCTAGCTACAGTCTAGGTTACAAGAGATATCAATTAAATTATTCACACAAATTAAACGACATTCATGCAATTAAACCGAAAGGAATCTAGCCATACATCATGATTAACCCCTTCATCAACCTCAAATCCCTAATTAAACTACTCACAATTCATAATTGAAGAATCAACAGAATTGGGATGAATAGAAATAATTGTCATTAATTAAAAAGATGAACTTACAAATAATCCCAAAGAAGAAAATAGCGTAAAAACGATGTTAAATTCGTCCCTAGGCCTCTCCGTAATGTTCCTAACCTCAAAATAGGAGAAGGGAGGACTTATTTATAAAAAAAGTTGAGTTTGGGTTGAATTAGGACTAAAAACGGGGTCAGGCACGGCATGCCCAGGGGCCAGGCACGACCGTGCCTGCGGAGCAAGCCCGTGTTTCGTAACTTCGGGTCCAGGCACGGCGTGCCTCCCAGCCAGGCACGGCGTGCCTGTCCATTCCAGCAACCCGGTACATATTTCTTCTACAGGCACGGCGTGCCTCCCTGGGCACGACCGTGTCTTCCCTTCCGAATTTGAAGATGCTTCCTTCATGAAGGTTGTAGATAAGGAAGTCCTCTATCCACCACAACTTGCGGAATTGGATTTGAATCATCCAATCAAGAGATATGATCAAAACGGTGGAAGGTCTCATTCTGAAATCGCAACAGAGATCATCTGACTTCATCGTCTGTTTTCACCTTCTTGCTCTCATATTCTCGGAATGATGTCTTCATATGATTTGTATCCCTTGAAGGTGGCTTTCATATGCAACTTGAATCGTGTCCTTTGGATGCTTCTACAAAGAGAAATGCTTGAACGATTGACAGAAGGTCATCCAGATCGTCGCTTTCAAGCTTCATTCATCTTCTTTTGATCCCGAAGCCAATCCTAGAGCTCTTTTGTCATCAAATCTTTATCGTAACCCTCCCGGTAACCTCCATAGCTCTCAAATCAATCTCAAATGCTTCTCAACTCATCCCGATTTCTCCTCAAGCGCCAGTGCCGAACTCTAAAATCCAGATTTTGACTCCAAATGACACAAAACTCGAACCAACGCCTGTTAAGCATAACTTGAGCTAAAATTGAGACTTGTAACACCTTAAAGCTAGGAAAACCATCAAAAGCCGATCTCAACACGCATCAAATGCGTGTCTAAATACGGACTTATATCAGTTATAAAAGAGAAAAATTTGTCAAGTACAATTTCCTATATGAAATGAAAAAAAAATTGTGCAAAATAAAATTACTTGGCATGTACACTTTTTTTTTAGAAAGGAAATTGCTGCCAATGACTGGGTAAGTATTTTAATCATGCCCAAAAATAACAAAGTAGATGTGTCAAAAACTAAAGAGCTAGCTAATCTTACTAAATAGTGAAAAGGATGTGATAGCTAATTGAGATTCTTTCATATAGAGGGGTCCCATTGATAATTGATTTTGGGCACAATAGTATAATTGAGATTCTTTTATTAAGTGAATACTCCGTATAATTGCTAATTTTTCTTTACTTTTTAATATTTTTTTCACTACAAAGTGAAATATTCTTCGTTTCGGATGAGACAACAATAACGTCAAAAAACTTTACTCTCAAAAGATTTGAGATCGATTAACATGAATTGATCCGTGATATCGAAGTCATAAAGGAAAGAATGATAGGAAAGATAAAAATGTAAGATAGGATAAGATAAAGATAAGAATAAATATAAGATAAAATAATATATATATATATATATATATATATATATATATATATCATACAAATAATAGTTGTTTAAATTGGTAATAAATTTTGGAGAGGAAGGGGTGGCCAACTTGCCACAGGGTTGGTCACCATTTGATCAATTATGCAATGATCCAGAATATTTATTGTGGGATACTTTTCCTGCATCTCACTCTACCTATTGAAATATGGGCGTTGATTGGTGATTAGAACAATTAGCTAACAAAATAAAAAATGACTTCAGCACGGATCTATTCTAGTTGGTTTAGATTATTATTTTTAACTGATTATTCAATGTCGGTTTCAAGTGATGGACATATATAGATTAGAGGTCTAGTTTGAACCCATTAAGACTGTTCTAGCATAATACTACCGTGTTAAAAAATGAAGTACATATAATTTAACTTTGTATTCCATCCTTCAATACAACTATATTTAATAATACTATCTATGATTTTATATATCTAACTTTTATCATATTGTAGTACAAAAAAATCAAAAGGTTTGTCGGCCTATCACGAATTGACACATTTTTCATGTATATTTTTTTCAAGAACAAAAGTTTCTCATCTAATGAGTTAATCCCACATATTAGAAGTCTTGTCATATACGAAGTATTAAACTTCTTCTGACTTTAGACCAACATTATTCATACTTATTAAAAAATCATCAATGTCACGTTTGAAAGAAAGTTTAGTGATCACATATTTAACTGCATGGAATTGCTTCATCACAACTTGTTTGTCGTTTACATTTTCACTACAATTTATATGTTGTTCGATGAAATTATTACTATATCTATTTTTTTCGGGAAGGGGAACACGATTTTTATCTTAAATACTAATACTTAATTTCGGGGTCAGAAGCAGAGGCACTTGCCCCTATGGTTGTAAACGAATCGAATCGAGTTGAATAATGTGATTTTATATTTGTATTTGTTTAATTTTTTGAATACAAATCTGAATTCAAATATGTAACAAATATTATTTTCGATTTGTATTTGTATTTGTTTAATAATACGAATAGTTAACGAATCATATACGAATATCTAATCGATTTGATCATAAGAAAATATTAGTCAAATGCCAATTTAATACAATTTTTTCAATATGTTTTATGTTGTAAATGCATGCTATGACTTAATATGTGTTTTTAGAATTTAATTTGTAACATTACATTTTTCCTTAAAAGTTAATGGATTGATGCATTTTTAGATTGTGCACAATATACTGAAGTGGTTCAATTTTATGATTACTGTACATAAATATATTTCAAAAAATTTAAAATAAACACTAACACACAAATATTAGAAATTATAACTATAGTGTGTGTGAAATAATTTGAAAATTTTATATATCAAAATCAAATGACTCTATTTTTTTATTTTTTAATAAAAAAATAGATATACAGTTTATACTACACACTTATATTAGGTAGTTGATGCACATACACATACTAGATAGTTGATTTTGTTTTTGTACAAACGAGTATATAATTCATTACTCTTCGAATAAAAAACATAACTATTTGTATTTGTATTTGAAAGATATTTGAAAACTAGAAAAATGATGAGTTTCAACTAGGGTTATCACTATTATTAATCGAATATATTTGATTAACATTCAAATCGAATATACAGATATTCATATTTGTATTTGATAACGATTCGAATCAAATTTCGTATTCTTATTTGTATTTGAATTTTTCGAATTCGAATCGTTCTATACGAATTCGAATCTCTAATCGAGCATAAATTATTTGATTCGTATACAAGCCTACTTCATCCCATCCACCCGGGTCCTCCACTGACTCTGTTTATGAAAACTAGTGTGCTAATGTTTTTAAAATTCACACAAACTGCTTTGTACGTTGTATATTTTAAAATACTACGTTCTGTTAATAAAATCCACGGTCTTACGTAGTAATAAAATTGAACACCCAT